TTTCAGGTGATAGATAATAAGTGTTCCCCGCTAATATAATAAAAGAGAGCGGCTGCATAATCCTTTCGCTCCCAAGATCTCATCAGTGATTCTCTCTACTGTCTGCCTTACAATTCTTACGATGCTAGTTCGGAGAATTTAGTACTGAATCAACTAATAATCCCCTACTTTATATTTTTCTTTATTCTCATCGCTTGTGAACTTGATATTTTAAGGATATTGTGAAGAGAAATTCTGTCTTGATCATTGATGAGAGTTAAAGGCAGAACATTTTTTAAACCAACTGAGCGGGCTCTCTAATTTGTCTCAAGGGAATGTCCCACATCAATTGTTAACCTTTGATTCTTAGATAAGATCTTCATATAACTTCTTTCAAGAATATCAGTTTATTGTCAAGTAAACAGGTGCAACTTTTTCTTTTTCTTATTTTAAAATAATTATCTACAGCAGGATTCTCGGATACAGAATAATATTATGATAGATGACACGGTCGTATGGAAGAAAACAAACAGAATTGAGTATCGAGGCCTTCAATATCTACTACAATTTTAGGAAAAGAGGCGCAAGTAAATGGGGAGATATTTAATATCACTTACTGCCATCACTACGTGGATTAACAAAGCACAAAGTTAAAGCCAAACACTTATACAGGAGTTCTTATTTCGTGACACAGGCCTGAGTTTCATCAACCACTAACAATCATATTAGGATCTTTTGTGATCCGCTTTTGTGAAGTGTAAAAAAAGAACTAAAAAATTAAAAGAAATAAAATTAAAATGAGTGATATAATGAAGTTTGTCAGCTTGAGTTGTTCCCATGATGTTATTGCTTAATTTTAAATTGCAGAAAAACTATATGATGTCTGTTATATAAAACAGCGTCAGCTTCTTGTTTATATCCCCATATTTAAAACAACGAGCCCGTGAGCTTTCTGTAACTGATTAGATTTAAGAACAAATTAGTAGCGTAGGCTGCGTGTCCAAATATGGAAGCACGTCACAACCTTTTAAGGTTGTTTAAAAACAACATTGCAAAATAGAGAAAAACAAATACACGTTGTGACCTTATCAAACAAACATAACATGTCATGAACTGGAAAGGAGCTTCGATTAAAGAGAAGCAAGTTTCTAGACAAAAATTGTTTTAACTGCTTTTTTGGAATTGGAGTTTTTCAAGTAAAAAAATACGGTCGGCCTCGGAAAAAGGTAGGAAATATCTGTTATGTGTTGCTGTAATTTAATTGTTCTTTATTTGATGTTAAGAACATCGAAACACCCTTTAACAATCGAGCTAAGAATCTACTGACAAAATCTACGATTTCTCGCAGTGTAATTTAAATAAACAAAAAAAAATTGAAAGGTTTATAGTAAAAGTATATGTTATTTTTCCTACTCGCTAAGATTTTTCTTCAATGTAAATGTTTTCATGACTGTGAATATATGAAAATGAAGTGATGAATACACTGATTTATTTGGAACCATCGTAATGACCAGCTCCCACTTGGCTTGTTAGCTCAGTTGGTAGATCACTGCACCGGTATCGCAGAGGTCATGGGTTCAAACTCCGTACAGGCCTGAATTTTTTTCGAGCTTTTTTTCACTCCTGCTTAAGTGGTATTCATTACTGCGAAGATCGCGTTTATATTCATTTCGTAAGCTTTATCAATGTGTCTTAAGAACACGAACTTATTGAGAGTTGGAGATAAAGGGAAAATGAAGGGAGCGACCGTCTGTTTTCTTAAAAGGAAGGAGGCAAATGTAAATTACTCCCTAGCTACATTCAATAAACGAACTCAGATTTTTACTCTGTTATTTAAATCGTATGAATCATGACGAACCTGGCCGATGCTCTTAACAAATTTATATTTTGTTTGTTTAGCTGTATTTATTTTTAATATCATAAGTATTTTTCTTAAGTTCATTTATCCAATAGTCCGACTTTACATGTGCTTCTTGTAAACGATATATCTCCATACGCACTGCTGTCAGTTATCATGACATTATGAATTTCTCTTCATAGAATGCACTTGATAACGACCTTATTTTATTTGCCTTTGGTGGTTGCTGGATGCAGAACAGTTAAATTTATCAAGGAAGAAGGTGTTGCTCTTCAGAATCACGTCATTAAAACTGTGTCTGATTCTAAACCAATATCATGTGGCTGGCAATGTGCAGACACTCCTCTGTGTTTCTCTATGAACGTCAGAAGGTTACCAAATGGATGGGTTACGTGTGAGCTGAACAATTCCAGCAAAACCGCCGACCAACAAAATTTGATATTAAGTCCTGGCACTCAATACCATCAGTTAGCGGTAATGCATGCTATTACTATCCTTGGTATTTGAGAGATTCTCTATCAGATTCTCCTCTATCAGATTCAACTGTGTAGAAGGAAAAACGTCCTGAAATTTAGCATGTTGTGACCTGATTGAAGAGACCCATATCAGAGCAGTGTCTGAGGCTATAATGAAAATCTTTAGTTCTCGAAACGAACAGCGTGATTGCAGGCTGACTCTTCTAAAATGTACGTTTATCTTACTTTTAGGAAGTTGAACGTTGTACAGTGGACCAATGCATCTACAAAGACGGTAAAACTGCTCAATGAAACTTCTTTATTCTGCAACAGGCTAATCACCTCCTCTTGAAAATATTTCATGTTTTTGTCATCACTTCCTTTTTCCCTTATTTCTCCCCTGATTGACACCTTTTGCGTCCGTCATCACATTGTAGATTCACCGCTGTATTTTAAGTTCTGTAAAAGCAGGGGCTCAGTCGCTCACGTGACGCGTTTAAACCAATCTCGCGCGAACAAACACATTAGATGGATTATAACGCTGTTTGTGCATTTTCACAGCTCTTCCAGATGACTGGTACAGAGTTGGTTCCAAACTCTTTAAATTGTTTCATGACAGAAAGACCTGGGGACAAGCCCGACAGTTTTGTCAGTCAATTGGTGGAGACCTTTTGTCAATAAACCAGGAAGACGAAAACAAATTTGCATTCCAGCTACTCAACCAGATCAAGCCAAATATAGCAGGCACGTTCACCAAATCCATTTATACTTTTTTTAAAATCATAAAGCTTATATTTTCCCAGAAAATACATTCATACCCTTAACTATTAGTTCTTACCTATGATCTATCAGAGGCATATCCTTAGATTCGTCATCAGCAAGTGCGTCTGTTTGGTTTTTGGTACAAAACGTCAACATTTAGTAACTTCTCCCCGTTGGCTTTTATATGATATCAAAAGCAGTTCATTGAAACTCTAGCAATTGAAATTAGATCTGGAGTGAATTCTTTGTTCTTTATAATAGGTAAAGATGTGATTGGTCACTGGTTTCTGGATGGTACTGACGTTGATGTCAGGTTAGGCTCAGCACACTCTTTAAAAGTTCCCACTGACTGCACTGAATGACACATTCCCCTAATTGCGTGCGTGAGGGGGTGGGCGTTACTTTTGAGAACGCGATTGCTTGCACGTCATCTATATTACCTGTTTGCGGCTCAAAAAACAAACCGACAGTGGGATGGGGCTCCTCAGGTTCAGGTGATCCACTAGAGAGAGTGATGCGATATGTGATAAAAACAATCCGGCACATCTTCAAATGTTAGCAAGACGCAATAAAAAGGTCCCCCAGAGAACCCGATCTTCTCCTCCATAAATCTCTGCAGTGGTTAAAAAAAATGTTGTGTTTTTAATATAATTGAGAATTCTTATATTTTTTATTAGTTTATTTCATCGCCAAGTACTTAGGCTTATGCAGACTGGTGTCAGATTTATTCAGGTTATCCGTCCTTACTCCCTCAACTTAAGCGACGTTGAGCACGATCTCTGATTGGATTCCAGCTGAACACAAAGCATCCATCACAAAACACTCTATTTTATTCTTTCAACAGTCTTTTCAATGGAGCGAGATATAAAGAAGAAAGCTTCCGAAGTGCGAAAGCATTGTACCTCGACGGACTGTTTGCTTATGCAACAACTCCAGCCGTTAACTTTTTGTCAATCAGTTTCACTTTGGTCAGTTGGGTCAAATTGGAGGATCCTGTTAGAAGTCCGTCGACCATATATGGTTATTGGAAAAACCCCAACCTTTTCCGTTTCACCGCCTTCCTCGGCGACAAACTCCAATTTGAATTTCAGAATCACGACGCGCAAGGAGGGCTCCTGAACAAAATCGATATTAGGGGAGGGTAAGAATAAATCAAATAATCCTCATTGTTGAGCGATTTCGTGCACTGGAAATCCGCGTTTCTTTTTACATTTCCCCCTCGACCTCCCCTCCTCCCCCACTCTCCTCCCCTCCCCCTAACATTTTGAGAAGCGTCTAAGTCTGGTTAAGAAGACAGTCAACTCTAAAATTCGAAAAAATATCTGCTGCCGAATGTGAAAAATAAAAGGCTAAGAGGGACATTTCCTATATGGACATTTCAGTTTCCAAAGCTTTTTGCAATTTTTCAGAAATTCCGCCTAAACTTTGTGTTTTATATCTGATTTTTATCTTGACAGAAATCCAAATAAGGAGATATGGTTCCACGCTGCCGCGGTGTGGGACAAGTCTATGAATAAAGCTTATTTATATCTTAACGGCACAGAAGTAAGGACTTCTAATGGTCCGAGTGGCTTTGATCCAACCGAATTTAAATATACATTCTATGACATTGGACTGAAGAGAGACGCCAATGACACAATGAAAGGATATTTGAGAAACCTGATGATTGTTCGCTCTGCTCTGACTGGTGAAGAGATTTTAAGAATGAAAGGTACAACAAATTTAAGTTAACCAGTTAAAACAGTCAAAACGGCAACTAAGTGCCGAGTCGTACAGACGAACTTCAGACACTCCCGTTTAGAAATTATAAGAATGATTACCACATGTTTAAGCGATAAATACTCATTTTAACAAGAGAAATTTGTTTTGTTCTTTGATTTTGGACAAAAAGAACCTCATTACCCAACGAGGAATCGAGCCCAAGACCATCGGAATTTGTGCTCCGATATCCTATGTCTTATTTTGCGGTTATACTGACATAATATGTTAGAAATAGTTTACTAAAGTATCTACCTGATTGCAAGGATTAGTCACTAACTGAAAGAAACGGAATGCGAACTTAATAAGAGTACCATATCCATCTCATGCAACCTTGAGTAATTCCAAAATCTTACATACTTTGAAAACGTGTGGGCTAATTCTGATCTATGTAAAATGCAAAATTTGCTCTGTGAAAAATCCTTCAGAGTTTTCTTAGACTGCCTTTAACCCAGAGACCAACGTACCAGTTGAGCTTAGTTGCGAATTCGCTTTGGAAGTCCTGTTTCCATTCTGGATTTACTTTTTCAGATCTAAATAACGAAGCCTTTGCTGGTGCTTGGATCGGTCTAAATGACTTACGCACAGAAGGAGATTATCATTGGCCCGATGGTAGTCAGGTGACATACGAAAAGTGGCACCCCAACGAGCCAAATAACGCATATGAATACCAAAACTGCGTTCAAATGCGTATCAGTGACGGGACCTGGGACGATGCGAGCTGTGGAAAGCGTCTTCCTTTTCTTTGTGAAAAGAAACATTGAACTGTCTGCCATTCCTAACTTATTAAAGAGAGCCAACACATCATTAATTTAAAATCAAAATCAGGCTTTCCTGTTTGTCTGTAAAGCTTACATCAACGGACCAAATAGCAATTTTGATTTAATAGGCAAGAGCCCAACTCTTCTAATCACGAGTGCACATACTTTCAAACAACTCAAAAAGCCCCTTTTATTCAGTCTTTTCTTAAGCAATCATTTCGTGCGAGGTGAAAACTTACTGAAGATTTTACTCTAAAAACTAGGGGAGTGGACTTGTTATGAGATCAGAGCAATCACCAAAGCATCATGTCAGAATGTAGTTGAGTCATTTTCGTATTTCTCCAGCGTGTGACCAAATCGAGCCAAACTTATTATTATTATTATTATTATTATTATTATTGTATTATTGTAATTATAATTACACAGTTTCTCGTTTATGTAACATAGGATATGTATCTTTTATCCTATGGTTTATTAAAGACTTCAAGAAAGACTTCAAGACTTCAAGAACAACATTCCAACTATTGCCTTTAGAGGCAAGCTCGCCTCTTTTGCAATGATTGGGTTCTAGTTTATAAGCAAATGCAGTATATATAACTGGTAACCAATAATCACAGATTTCCTTTATTTGATATTTTGTCTAACACTAGTGAATTCTCCTAGTCACACTTGTCAGAGTATAAGTACACTTTCACTTAAGACTGTGAATCACAATATCTCGGTGAGTTTCACCCAGGACCTGAAACAAAAATACGCTTATTATCATTAATAAATAACTAAAGCAAGGGAGACAAAACAAGTGTGACTTAATGCATTTGTATCATGTGTTTAACAATTTGATTTCTCAGTGTATTAATTTATTGAAAATTGTACCTTAACGCACGCAGGAGGCAAAACATAGCAAAAGTTTTAAAAGAAAGGAAATCAGTGTAAATTGTGCCTCTGTTGTGAATCATGGTGTCTTGATAAACGAAGATGATAGCAAATCTAGCGATGCAAGTTAAATGATGTCTAAGTCAATTCAAAGAACGGATTTAGCTTAATATGCGAATGAATCTGTAACTGGTCCGATCAAAGGAAGGTAGCGACAGCCTCACATTCATGTGCACGCGTTTTCCAATCGAATTGTTATTCATTGCATTCGTCTCTTAACAGAAAAATGATAAAGAGATCCAATAAAAAACAAATGGATATCAATAACAGTCTTGTCCTCAGAGTATACCAACCCCTGAGCTTATAAAGATCCAGTATGAGCCTCTGTTCGTTACAATCGTCTTTCCAAAAAACAGCAGGGACTCCCTCCATGGGTTGACCTCTGTATGGATGGACGCAAAAGCCCGATGCCTTATGTTTCAATGTTTTGTGAGGGGTCCTGTATATAGAAAACGATATAACATATTATGAATTGACTATACTTCCTTCAAAGTCGACCTCTAACCTGTATGGAACAGGCGAAACGTCATTAGGGAATGAGATGAAAGAATTGACAGACAAGAATTTTAAGAGGGCTCAAACTAATTATCCTCCCCCCCGCCAAAAAAATAACAACAAACATACAATAATAACAACAGTAGATATGTACATGTGTTATCGAAGGAATGACATATCTGTTTTCTACCACAGATTATTGGAAATATACTCTTTTGCCCTGTAAAGGCAACTGAAAAGCCTCTTTAATGCACTAGCTCATTGAAAGTTTCTTGCATCACCTCTCAGAAAAAAAAATGTTCAATTTCCTGCAGTAATGATACTTAAGGTTAATGTGACCCGAGTGGTTTCATTTTGCTCTCTGTACCTTTGAAATTTTGACATATTTAAATCACAGGTACTGGAGAGAACCAGACGCATATCCGCTGTAACTCCTCTTCCTGCAATCGTAACAATAGTATCGTTTGTAGTTCTGATTATTTTCGTTCACCATTAAAACTAAAATTCGAAGAAACAGTCCTTCCAGTCACGCGGACGGATCTTGCGTCCGGGGGTTAACTTTAAAAAAATTGTTTAACGTTTTGAGCTGTCTGGTTTTACAGTGGATTAGATTTATTTTTCTCCAAGATTTTCCAACACCTGAACCCTTTTACCTTTCCTGTGTTGAGTGATATTTCGGACGGTCGAAAAACTCAAGCATCAACTTTAAGGTGGCTATTCAGAATGCTCTACACAATACAAACCCTAATTAGTATTTGTCTCTGTGGAGGGATTTAAAGCCGAAACCCCAGACAAATACCTTCGGGAAAAAGATGCAAATCAACGATAAATTCAACACACGCTAAGTTCAGGAATCGAACCCAGGCCCCTGCGATGGATAGAAAGTGCTATTACTACTGCCCTATGATGTCCTTAAAATACCAAACTTACCCTCGGGACAGACTCTCTTCCCACTGCAAGTATGCATAAGGACTTCATCTTTGTAAGTGAAGTACATGTAATATTTGTCGCATCGAGAGGATTGGTGATAGACAAGTGGACTGTTGTCGGCAGGATTACAGCTGGCACTTTCTGGTTGAAGGCAGAACCCCCCAGGTACTTGTATTGGACTGTCAAAAACTACAGAGCAAAAGCCTAATATAAAAGACTCTTTCAAAAAAGTCCTTTTGAGATAAACCTTTACTATTTAGGTTATTAAGGTCTCCTTTTACATTGATTAAGGAGACGCCCGCACATTATCAACCATTCAAATCGGTCAACTTAAACAACAAAAGAAAAGCCCCGCTACACTTTCTTCAACGCTTCATTAAGGGACAAATAGTTTTTGCACAGGTTTACCAACCTTGTAACTTGAGGAAGTCAAGTCGAAGTCTATCTTCACTGCAATCATCTTTCCACATTATAGCTGTCGTACTGCTGATTGGTGTCCCGGATAAGGGATGCACACAGAATCCGGATGCTGTATGTCTCAGAGTTGTATAAACAGTCCTAACAAGTGATTTAAGTTGAGCTGATAAAGTATTATAAAAAGATGAAATTCGAAATTTCCCAATGCACAGTGTAGTATGGGGTTGAGTTACTGACCTTTGGAATTTGGACGCATCTGATCGGCACGTGCTTGATAAGACCAGCGATGTTTGCCAGGTCACTGTTCCTGTTAAGCAAAGAGAAAGTTCAATTTGACGCTGGTTTTTTTTTGTCCTAAAGTGTAAGGACCTCACACAATGAGATGGCAAGAAAGTAAAAAACTCGGGTGCATTGGTAAACAGTCATTTATTTTTACCGATCTGAGATACGACTTGTGCATTTTAATTCTCAAGATGAGGAGATTAAAATGCTTGGTAGTATTAATGCACTCTGCCGTCTTTTAATCAAGTGAAGTTTTGAACTTTTTTTGACGTTGTATAAATTTTCGCGCTAAAATATCAACAAATTAAACGTACCTAAAGGACAAACTTTCTTTCCACTACATTTATGAGTAAGAATATCATTGTGATGGGTGAACATCATGTAATCCTTTGAACATTCTGGCGTATCCTTTATATAAACCAGTCTGGTATTGTCCGCCGGACTGCAATCCTTACTCTCAGGCTGAAGACAAAAACCACCGTAGGCTCTGATCGGACTTTCTGCAATATAAACTAAACAAAAGCCGAAATTTATTTTCCAGCTGGATGGTGGCCATGCAATAATGGTTTAACAATTTATCTTTTTATCTTTATTTTATATTTATTTTTCTATCCTCTTAAAGAATTTAAGATAATGGAGTGAAACATCGCATGTGAAACCTGTTTTAACCCTTTAAAACCATGCGTGATCAAGACAGAATTTCTTCCTACAATATCAAAAAAATACCAAGCAGACAAGTGATGACAATGAAGAAAAATATTAATCATGCAGGGGATTACTAGTTGATCCAACGCCAAATTCTCCAAAAGGACATCACAGGAATTGTATGGAGAATTACTAATAAGGTCTTGGTTGTAAAAGGGTTAACTAAACTTGCCCTCTTCTCATGAGGGAAGAAAAATCAAACCAGTGGCAATCTGTTGAATGATTTGCTCGTGTTTGGATCGAATGGAAACATTTTTCAATTTAAAGTAATTCGAGTCATCCCCCTCCCCTTCCCCAAGTCCATGGTTGGATAAGAGTCGAAATACGATCCGATTCAAGGCTGCAGGGCAAAAACATCGTTTTGCTTCATTTCGAGATGAATTAAAATATTAACTCAGATTCCAAGTTAAAGTTGATTCTCCCTAGAAAAAAGAATAGGCTGTCAACTATTAGCCTTTAACTCCAAGATCTGATTGTCAATTTACCCCTCTAGCTACTACACATTTCCTTGTAAATTGATCACGAGAATTAGGTGCAATCAAGGTAATAAATTGTATCTGATGAGTTTGAGTATTCTCACTACCTGTTTGCTATGTAATGTATGGATACTATGGGAAGAAGTTACATGGTAATCACTTCTGTGAGTTAAAGGGTTAATTTTCCGAATAATTTCCAGGCAATCTGTCGCAAATTTTGATGTGATGTTCATGATCTGAATACACTAACCTGGAGTTGGCTTTTTGTCAATTTTACCCTCGTTCATCCAATACCAGATCAAGCCTGGGTTCGTCATTACACCGTATATCCAAGGAGCAGGATTGTTGGATGTTTTTTCGGAGATGATCGTTCCCCATTCAGAATAATCCGAGTGTGTCGAAGTTGTTAATAAACCCGATCTTGCTCCTAACCATGGCATGCGCTTCTCAAGTGAGTCTTGCCAGTTATATTTCCAAACGTTATAACGTTTCACGAGAGAAACGTCTGTCTGCTGGTTATTTTCGTTAACAAAGCTAATGGTAAGTAAAATAAAAATGACAAGACGGTAAAGGACCAGTAATTATTAACCGCCTGAGGGTCGGCGGATATCGGTTGTGTCACAATATAATTGGGTAGTTCTTACTCTTTTGGCCACGACTGATCCCTCTCTGTTCCACCTTAAAACCATGTGACTCCCCCTCCCCAAAGATTCCTCGGCCCCCCCAGCCAATAAATAATGCTTAGCCGGGCCCCAATGACGGTAATGAAAGACGGAAAAACATGTTTTAATTTCATTACCAAGCTCAATATTTATCATCTTCCTTATTCTATTTGCGTACATGATGCTTTCGACAATGCTGATCCAAGTAGTATGCAGGACGCGTGTCACATACAAACCTAGCTTCGATTCCTAATGAGGACTTGTGAAAGGAGAGAAAAATCTACCTCTTTATATATCACTATATATATACTAAATATATCATTATATTTATATGTATATATCTTCTCCGTGGAAGGTAGCACACGCTTGATCCGGTTATTGAGAATCGAACGTCACCAATCATGTCCCTTTGGTAATTATGCTGAGTAATCACCCACCTGTATCTCATTGGAGCCGTCCAAACTCCGCCCCAGTGTCTTCTCTCGTTGGCCTCTAGACGATACTTAAACCTTTTTGCTCCACTTAAAGCCTTAATCTGATCAGCGTACTCAAGTATGGAGTAGTCCCTCGATAACAACGGCCTCGTGGGGTTCTTGAGTTTGACTTCGTTCTTTTTCCAACCATTCGAAGCACTGGTGACGAGTAGAGTGTAAGCTCCTTGCTCTGACGTCATATCACAATGAACGGGCAAGTACTCATGGGAGTTCCTTAAAATAAAGTAAAGTCCGTCCTTCTCCGCTGCCTTGTTTCCACGGTTTTCACTTTTAATTTCATTGCAGGATCTCCTGCGAACACAGTTGATCGTATTCAGGGAAATATTTCGAAACAATAGCGAAAAGAAGAAGTGATTTAGGTGGAAAAATGGAAGTAAGTAATATTTTCAAGAATCGCAAAGTGTTTCATCGTGTAATTCTGTTCACAAAGTCTAAAAAGGCAAAAATCAACTTCAACTAAACCTCCAAATTGTTTTCTCCATTGCAGTAATTTTCGGGTAGTGGTAGTAAAGTAACTAAAAACTAACAAAGATAGTTGTGTTCAAAGAAAAAGAGTAAAAAACCCGTCCAAAGGAAAAGAACGGTTGAAGGCCTCACCCACCCCCACTGCTTTGCTTACCAGGTTCCCTCGCGCACCCAGAGTCTTTTCGTGCCTGTTCTCGCTCGACTTACACCATGTGTTGCATCCAACACAATGGCACCATTGAGATTTGTCTGATCGTCAGCACTCGTCAGTAATGCATAACCGGAAGTTGTCAGACGTGGCAGACGCTTGGTGGAGTGTACTTGACTGGCATCCCAGTGTCCCTGCTCGTGAACTAATTTCACGCATGCTCCGTCTGATCGACCAGAGGTAAATGAGCAACCAGCGTTTCCTGTCCAGACTCCTTCCCAAGTCTTAGCGCCATCTTCCTCCATCAAATACTATGAAGATAAAACTTTCAAAATTCAACAACCTTGTTTGATAACAACAAGATTGAAACACTTCTTTGCTTTGTACCGAAAAATACTTCGCTTCGAGGACTTATGAGTTGTCAATTGGTTAACATGTTGATAAGTCCTCACCTGAAAGTGTTTCATTTTCGTAATGTTGTCTGCCATCCCTAAAAGGGAGAAGTCAGAGGACAGCGAAGGATTGTGGATATTTCTTGACTTCACGTTATCTCGTGCCCATCCATTGTCACTTGCGCTCGTCAATACTAGAGTCCAGGCCCCACCATGGTCACTGAGTTTACAAAAGGTCTGAACTTGACGATGACCAGGCTTAATAGTATACAAACCATCTAAAAAAAAGGAAAAAAACACAAGGACGAGGTAATCATCCGTGCATTAGGTAGAATTGTCATTCAGCGTGTCTGTTTTGAGAACGTTTTGTTTCGTTTTCTCACATTAACGACTTTGATGACCATTATTTTTCATAAATTTTCGATCAAAACCATGCTACACCATTCGCACAAAAGGTTTTGACACATGCGCTCCGATATCGCAGGAGCTATGTTACTAAGATAGGAACTACAACATATCATGTCATTTATAGCGAAATGAAAAAGTCGCTTTTGGATAAAATGAAACCTTGACATAATCATCTGTTTGTTAAGAAAGACAGTAAGAGGGAAAGAATAAGTTCAAGAGTGACGACGACAAAGGAAAAAACAAATTTGCGCACTTAGCATATATCTTTTTACCTGTCAATAATAGTAGATTTCTAAAGATCAGTTCCTCCGTTCTTTTCCGTAAATTACCTTGGACTACATAGTTTACTTAATAATTTCCCTCCAATCGCCATTTTGATAACCCTGGTCAAAAGTTCAAATATTCAAGAAGCTTTCCACGAAACTGGTCCTGATCAAATGTTCAGTTAACAGATAGCGACATTTTAATAGACTATTATCAAAAGAACTTTTCGCCGGACATTGCTGATTGTGGCAGTTGAGGGACGATAGGAACATGTGAATCTTGATTGGCCTCGCTTATGACTGACAAGAAAAAGCTCAAGAGTGACGACGACAAAGCAAAAAACCAATTTGCGTACTTAGTGTCTTTACCTGTCAACGGTTTACTATATGAACCTCTCAGCTGGATCTCAGCACATGACCTCGGAGGACTAAAGCTCTGTTCTCTGACCCAGTACCAAATGTTCACTGGGTGCTGTTCAAGATCTTTGCCGTCCAACCAAGGCGCCGGAAAGAAAATTTTAGAATTGGCTGCGGCAGATAAAAAAAGGAAAATAAATTTGCTTGATTTAAGGTATGCGGGTAGTCTCTGTGCTACCTCAGGGCGTGGTCACTCCTGCCTTGCATAGACCCTACTCTTAATTATAATGGTAAGAACAGAAACTCGCAAGGAACAGTGTCTTGGTAGTATGAAAAGCGAGACTCGTTCTTAGTGGCTGGACAAAAAACCTGAACGAAACTTTTTGTGTTAAAGAAATTTGTATACAGTAGAAATCAATGTCTTTTTCGTAAGTTTGCAATGATGGTGGAGTTCAACCGAGGTTTTTAACACAGCATGTTTTGTTGAATCCCATCCCAACCTGACATCTGTTCAAAGGCCTTTCTTTAGTGTCAATAGGTCGGTTTTTAATCTATTGAAAAAAGTACATTTCTCAATAAAACTTATTTCAAATTAGTTCATCTATTACAGTCAAATCTTCTCTTAAAACTGCTCAGCGACCATCTCTCCCCAATGGCCAAGTCGAATCACACAGCCCCACACTTTTTAAAGCTGAAGACTCTTTTCTACAGCGACCTGTCAAGTCAATTCAATTTAGCCAGGTTTGGGGTTAACCCCTTTGATCCCAAGAGTGATTAGCATCTATTTTCTCCTCATAATATATCCCCGAATCGTACATTAAGGTCACGAGAATGAAGGAAATGATCAACAACTAACAAAGCTCTTGATTATTTAACAAATTCTCCTTGTCAGCACCTTAGGAAATGTAAAGAGAAGAGTATGGAGAATATACCTATTGATGTTAGGGTGTTAGGGTGAAAGTAAAAGCAATACGAAAATTTTGTATGCGCATACTCCTCACCGATCAGAGTTCCCCACTGACGGTCTCCAGTGGCATTCCAAGAAGTCGTTAACTTAGGACCAGAAATCCAAGGCATTCTTTTCTCCACTCCATAATCGTCGTATTTCCAATTGTCGAATTTCTTTACCAACTCGACAAACGTCTGCTTGTTGTCCGTAGCAACAAAAGTGTACTCACGTGGAGCGCGCCAGATTCCACCCCAGCGACCTTAAAAAAAAAATGTACATCGGAGGCTTAGCTACATAGAACCTGCTTTTAAGTGAAGGTGCGTCTTTCAATTTTCATCAGCACCACTTCCGTAACGCTCTATTGGACATGCTTTTTAAAACAAATAACAGGTGGAATAAATCTTGCATCTGTTTTTTCAGGCCAAGTACTCTGAAGATGAACTTCAGTGATTTTTTTGCCTGGATAGCTTTTAACTGCTCCGTAGTTTCCCGTTATTGTTCCAGTGCCGCCTTTATAATACTGTACTCTTTTCTATTTAGTTTTCGTTGTGACTAATATCCGTCAACAGAGTCAGATATGTTAAGTGCTGTTTTGAAGTAACCCAGAACTGTTTAGTTTCGCTTAACTGTGCTGTGTGATTGGCGTGCAAACGTCGCGTCATGCTCTTACCTATGAGTTTTGATGTTTCACACAATCTGAAAACGCTCCGTACAACAAGCTCGATCTCACAAGTTTCTACTAGTGTATAGCTTACCCCTTTCGTGGCCTTCAATTCGATACTCAAACCATTCCCCGGCAACATTTAAACTGTTTTTGATGTCGTCTGCTTTGTACAAAATGGAAAAATCTCCATTTAATGTCGGCCTATTCGGATTTCTCTGTTTGATGTTATCAGCTTTCCACGTGTTTGTGTGGCTTGTGACCAAAAGTGTCCAGCCGCCACCGTCACGTGTCATATCGCAGTATGTCTTCACCGGTCCCTTTCCGTCAGGATTGATTGTGTACACTCCGTCTGGGAACTGGACGCCAGTTTGCTTTCCCAGAGACAAAAGATGACGACAAGAATGTGCCACTGTAGAAATGAAAAGAATACTCACAGGGTTATCGAACGTGTCCCCTATTTAGACTGTGTCTTTAAATATGGTAACAGATATAACTTTTTGTCATTCGGCACAAAAATTAGTGTCCTTTGAATGAAGTTATCCCCTAATGATAGATTCCTAAAGATCAGTTCCTCCGTTCTTTTCCCCAAACTACTTTTGACTATATAGTTTATTTAATAATTTCCCTCCAATCGCCATTTTGGTAACCCTCGACAAAAATTTAAATGTTCAAGAAGCTTTCCATATAACTGGTCCTGATCAACCGTTCAGTTAGCAGATAGCGACATTTTACGAGATTATTATCAAAGGAACCTTTCGCCGGACATTGCTGATTATGGCTGTTGAAGTACGCTAGGGAACATGTGAATCTTGATTGGCCTCGCCCTCCCCATGTGACTGAATGATGAAGATAGGGTGCAAAATTGCGAGGGGTCTTGGTCTGACGCTCAAGTCCTGGTGGAGGACTCAGATTGTGAGTGATTAAAAGAATCACTTTGATTCCTCAGACTTAATCAGGTTTCAATCTTGTTTCGTGGTACACTACCTGGACAATTGTCAGTGTTACAGGAAGACTTTCCTGTCCTTTTCCTACCACAGTCTCTTCCTCCATGTGCTGGGGCTGGGCTGTCACAAAAGCGATACCTTGTCTTCATTCCTCCTCCACAAACTTTTGAACATGGGCTCCATTTAGACCATGCGCCCCAGCGGCCATGGCGCACTTGTTTCGCTAAAGTACATTTAAAATACCTTCATTTTAGTTTGGCTGCTTTCAAAAAGGTTATTTTAAGTGTCAGTAGATACTATGATGTGAATGTTACGAACGGTTCAAAGTTAAATGTATTTTCAACCCAAAATTTCACCTGTTGTGCAGGCTGTATCCGGATCTAAATTTCCCAGACAGTGACATTTTCCCTTATTCGTGCATGTCTGACGAAAAAAAATATGCTATTAACACATTTAGAGAAGCAATCGATGTTATTTTTTTCATATCAATCAATGGAAACATCGGTGAACGTTTTGTTTTACAGTAAATGTTTCTTATCTGACGCAAGGCTCTCGGGTACAATTTGGTTATTTTTGAAACTTGAAATTGTTGCAGTTCTGCGAGAGTATACAACCATTTATACGAGATAACCTGAGCTACTGTCCTTGAACGATAGATATAGGAATTATCTCACGATATATCAGAAACGACTTTCAATCCATTTAGTTGAGCTCCATGGACTAAGATCAGAATAGAACAATTATTTAACCAATGCTATCCCTTTATCTTCTATGTTTGCTCAAGTTCGTGTCGCATGTCTTTCAACCAATCACAGTTGAAGTATGGAATATCGCGTCCTTACCCCTTTGCCCGCGCATTCCTTGCCATCACCTGCTCTTGGACACGTCGTTGAAATCAGTCGACCAACATGGGTGCATCGATTTTTAACACAAATCTGCGGTAGATGCAAAGTAATATTAATTAAAATGGAGTCAATTTCGTGTTAAACTAATAATGCCTAAAATTGTAAAAAAAATCTTAACTCCAATACAGCACTCATTAATGCCTCCTAGCCTATCTTTGTATTCTTGAGGTCACTCGATGGGTCAGTCAAAAACATGTATTACCTTGTTGTTACCACACACTGTTCCATCTTTGACCATTCCATCAAACTCCTTCCCATTTCCTCCCTTACGAATAGCCGCCCTGCAATTAAACAAATTGAGCCGAAAAGTAAAATGTACGGTTTGGAATATTTTCTTGGGAAAAGAAACTTTGTTGATAGCACCCATGCAATAATTTTTCTATGGTTGTTTCACCTGCATTTCTCTCCTGTGGTCAGAACTTTTAATTCATAGTAACTCCCATAATCCACCACTGGCCGATCTCTTGGCGAAGAGCATTGCAGCTGACCACATACAGCATGCCTGTAGATTCGCAAAAGGAAGGTTGGTTTCGATGATGTTGATAAATCTCACCACTACTACCTTTTCCTCGTCTTTTTGAAAGGCACCACGGACCGTTGCCTTATGTTTTCTCTATAGTATGGTGCTTTCACTCAATTTAGAGCCTAACCTGATGGAATAAGCAAGCACTGTTATCTACTCACTCTCTTGCACAAGGAAGATTTGTCTGCCCACTGCAAGTTCCAAAGCCTTGCGCCTCAATATTTAGTTTTTCATAACAGGCGCGGGGAGCACTTGAAGCACCTGTTAAAACAAATGCATGCAGTAAGAAATAAATTGTGGGCATCAATCAAAATATGAAACATTCATTCACAAAGTAATATGCAATATTATTTCTTTCAATTAATGGCAAGCTCGTACCTGCTCCCCAAAGAGCTCGGCATTGAAAATCCGCTGATGCTGCACATTTTCCATGATAACAAAATGACTGCGAAAGAATGTGATAAAACGTTTCCTCTACTTTTCATTTTCACCACAAACTAAAATGCAGGGTCTTTATGACTGAGAGGAATTAACTTAATTCATCGATTAAACCCCTTAAACAAACAGCGGGGAAAAACTGCTAATTTGAAAATAACTGACGAAGCCATTAATTAGAAGTTCTGGAGTCTACGTGTGATCGAGCTGACAAGTAACTTTGCTCAATTAAATAGCACTACTGTGACATACCGATGCTTCTATTTGTTTCTTCTATCCATAAAATTTAACTTAGGGAAATTGATAATCCTTAGAGTGGACCACATGATAGTTTGATGCGGCTCGAAAAATATCTGGATCACTCAGGGGACCTTCTCGATTGAGTGTTGAATGTTAAGATGAAACCTATCACAGAGCGGATTGTGTGTATTACATACTATTTTTAGTTTTGTTTGTTTTATTTTGTCGGCTCTGAGGAAACTCTATGTTACATCCTTATCTCACGCGAATTAATATGCAAAAAAAAAAAACAATATGAGCACGAAGGTACCTTTCCCCTCCCTGCACATAAGCTTCCGTCTTTGACATGGTCATCTAGAGGACACTAAGAACATGACAAGTCAATTAATTTTATTGAAAACAAAATTGAGGTGTCGCGAACCTCTTTTCATGATGTCTTTCTAAAACTTACCCAAGTCAACCGAAAGACCCATTCTGACCCTAACACTGTTGATACTTGAATCTGAACTTCTAATTTCTTTCATTTTCAAGGTATTGGCAGGTTTCGCTCTATTGTAATTTTGCCCGCTACAAATTCGCCCCATTCTCAACGCGTTCACTCCTTCAATTACGACAAGTGCGCACCCAAACATGGTGTTCCCTCGCTATTTCTGTGGAGCAAATGCCTCTTCTCTCCTCATGTTGCACTACAGCTACCTAAAGTATTAATGCACCATTATACCTAGTAGGTTGATTTTTATTCGCAATTTCAGACGCAGGGTAAGCGATCTTTAGGTGTACACACCTGAGCAGACTTTCCGGAACAAACTTCTGCCACATCACAGACTCCTATGCTTTTACGGCACAGCGTTCCAAGTGGGGAAAACTTGGTGAGAGGATAAAAAAGGGGCCATTTAGAACATGTAAGACATGTAACATGTAATCCTTTCTCGAACAATTTGCATTTTCTTCAGCATCGAGTTTTTGAATTTTAGAGAACCTACGAATGTTTTTGGTTAACTTAAATACAACACACTAATTTAAGTACTTTTGATGTTGACGCTCCGATTTGATATCAATTGATCATTTACGTATAAGTTCTTCGTTTCAGGCATTATCTTGTGCTACTTCTTCCTGTAAAAGTGAGCTAATAGCAATGAAAGTCAATGACCCCAGGTTATCTCTTACTTGACACTTCCGGCAACATTTGTTCTGCGCGTCACTACATTGGGAGGATTTCTTCAAGCGGCAGTCATTTGGCTGACAGCAGGGATCTCGTACCCTACATTCCTGTAGAATAAGGGGAGAGTGAAAAAGTCAGATGTTATTACGGCGCTATTTTTACCCCGCATTCCAATCGACCCGATAGAATCACGATAAAGGTATCTGATATGTTCCTCTTCTGATTTATTTTCTCAAACTAGCGTAGATCTCGACAAAGGGCCAAAGCAATGCTTCATTTGGTCTTTCAACCTTTCTCTCCCGAGATCTCATTTATAATTCTCTTTAATGTCTACTATGCAATTCTTATCACGTTAATTTGGAGAATTTGGTACTGGATCTGCTAGTAATCTCCTTATTGATATTTTCTTATTCCCGTCAGTTCTCTACTTGATTTTATATTTGTATTGCAAGGAGAAATTCTATCTTGGTCACTCATGGTAGTTAAATTGTTAAGCAATTTTTATTACTTTCGAGGGTACATTCCTCAGTTTTTCATCCTAAATCAAGTTCTTTGGGAGCTACACGTATTTTTTCACTGTTTACCTCTGGTGTACCACAATCACATTGCTCTCCAGGCTCTGGAATACCATTTCCGCATCTAGAGTTCTCTGCCTGTAATGCAAAGACATTATTGGCTATTAGATTGTTACGTCATCAGTGTTCAGTTGTTCAATACGTTGCACCACATGAGAACCTTTTTTGGAAGATTGTAAAGACAGCTGTCGTCAATCTTTGTCATGTTAAGCAAGTTACAGTCGGAGAAACCAGGAACTCGGGTCCTGTACGATAAAATAAAGAAAGAAGACTAATTGTTTCAGAGGAAAAAGAATGAAATCAAACAGATTAGAAGAAACTGAATATGAGTCATCGAATGAACAATCGTTGAAACTTACTTGAAGGAACCCATAACGCATCCACGAGGTGAAAGGCACTTACAAGACCAAACTTAAATAACGAAAAAAGAAATACTGGTAAATCTAACGTCTGAGGAAACTGCAAAACCCATGTTCAGACACTGTTTTTTGACACTGGCACAACTTAGAGACCTGACATTATTAATCGCCTGAGGGGGAGGGGGATTCGGAGAATTTTGGAGTTGTTACAATAAATTTACCTGATACCCCCTAAGGCTCTCTAGGATTCTAATTATCCCCCCTCATTTCAGTCAATTCTCTATAGTTCCCCCCCCCCCTTTATTTTATACTCTGTTAGCGACGACTAACCCCTTCTCTGTTCTCGCCGAACCTATTCCCCTCATGTGATAAAATATGACTGAATATCTGCGCTGTCTTGATTTGTAAATGTAGCATTGTTGAAGAAACAACTACTGTAGACAGAAATATTCACATACTGTTATCGTGGTCAAAGTTAAAGTTGTGTCCAAGTTCATGAGATAATGCTAACCAAGGACCGAGGGAACCCCAGTAGTTCCACTGCAAAAAGAATAACAACATAACAACCTGTAAGGATTGAGCAAAGTAACGGAGATGCTTCCCTCCAGAAGAGACAGTTTTCTTGGTCCGAAGAACGCGCCAACAGTACGGTGAAAACAATGGATAGTCCTCGCTCGCGCATTTGCCTGCTAAGTGAAAGTCTCTCAATGTTTTTGTAAACGCCCAAAGTATTTTCATAGCGAGAAAAATTTGTATATAGTTACAGGTGCAGTGTTCTAAGCTACTTAGTGATTGAAAGAAAAAGGTGTGCAGCTTTGCATTTGGTCAAGCTGGGAAAAAGGACTTACGCCTGTGTTCGCTTACAAGGAAGAAGTCATGATAGAATGATTATGTAAGCGATTATGCCTTACGACTACAGGCTTACCGCATCAACGCCCAGCGATCGTCTGGTACAAATCTCTCCTCTGTACGCCATTCCACCATAATCGTCCCACATTACACCCCTGTTTAGAATAGTGGAACAAGATATTTAATTACTCCGTAACGTGATTACGGGTCCCTGATTTCAAACAATTTTACAACAAAGTTGTTGTGTGATTTACATGTATCTTTGGTGATGAGGATATGCGGTCATTCCGCAAAAGGATTAATTAATATCGATCACAGGCATGAAAATGCTTTGTTCTCTGGTACAGTTTTCTTCTGGTAATGTCTACTCTCTAACTGGGCCCTTAGAATAAGAACAGTTGTAAAGTCAGACTTCAGTAGTAGAGTAAAAAATGTTATCATTCGTCTTGTGCAAGACTTGTAAACTCGACTCTTCTTTTAACAACCATTCACAATTTAAGTTCTCTCTGTTTATCTCTGTCAGTCTATCAGTCTGCCTTTTTGTCTATCCGTTTACTCTCACCTGTGACCAAGTACCTCAAAAAAGCCTTCTAATACTTTATAAACTAATCTGTCAGATTGACGAGCTAAATCTTAGCACGTTTCATTGGGCCTCGTGGGTTCAGTACCTCAACAGGTGTATACTGTCGTAGGTGACTCCGGCTTCTCTGCTGGAGTGATGACTCCCGAAGTTTCTTAAATCATCGCCGGCTCTCTTAACAAAAGGGACGTGATCCTCGTCTGTCCAGATTTCGAGCGCTGATAAAACAACTCGAATGTTGATCTTTCGATAAATCTGTAACAATGATGTGAAGAAGCAATAAATCTGTGCTTAAAAGTTGTACAAGCTTCATAGATAATGAATTTTTTCAACACAAAAATTTTATAGATCATTCTTCCCGTTGAACGTCTGACTTCCGTCAATGGAGCCTCGAACTTCTTGAAAAGAGTCAATGACATTATAACCAACTCCTTTGATCAATTTACCGTGTCGACAGCATTTACTAGTGTAAAAACTCTTCGTTTCACGTCGTTAATGTCTTGCTTGTATTTCTTGTACTGCAACAACAACAAAAAAAGAAATATGACATCTTACTCTGATCGCATAAACATTGATAACTTTTTTCCTACGACAGATCATGTGGATAAAAGGAAATGAAAGTTCTAGTAATTATTAAAATAAATTTTACTTTGATAAAAATTGTGGTATTTAAACCACAAAAAGCTTACCACAGCATTGTCAACAATGATCATTAACTCCGTATAGCGAGTTTTCGTTGTTGTCAAGTACTTCTTATACACTGACTCTTCAGCTTCCCGTTTAACCTGAAAATAATCATAAATCTTCAATAAAGTAACATATATTGTCCCTTATTTAGGTTAGAAAATCAGTCCGCTAATTCTAATATAGTTTTCTTTATATAGTCACTGAAAGGTCGTCAGATAATAATTTAAGACGTTTCATTTAAGGCAGCGGAGCACGCTTTGTTCCTGATATGATTCATTGCAATTCACTTTTCAGTTCCATTTATTGTATATAACATCAACTTGTGAATAGTTTGGCCCTGTTCTGAGCCCCTTTTAAATCTCTCTCTCAAATGATCAGTCGAATATCAAAGGATTACAAAATAAATACAAAAGGTAATATGCGCATATCCTGCCTTCTTATCCCAATCCACCACACTCTAAGCTGATCAGCCATAGCATGTATAGCGTTGTTTTAAAGCTAGAAAGTGGAATAATGAAAAAGACCAGATTTTCAAAACTACCGCACGTAATATGATAAACTCATAGTATTGTTCTATTGATTTACCCTAAATTTTGTTAATGAATTGCTCAGTCCATCTGCTGTGGTATTCCCATTCAAACTGGTTCCTTCAAAAATCAACGTGGATGTCTCACTATATTATTCTATAATAATACGAAACACAACTCCACTTAAATGAATCGGATAGCTTCATCCTAGCGGTATTCAGAGAGGATAGTCTCATAACTAGACCTTCCACGGACAAGTGGTGTCAAGGTCCCTACATTTTAGTTACAGTTAAACGGTAGGATCTGGGTACGAGACTACAGAGAGGATAGCAAACCCTTAGGACGCGTACAAGGATAGCAAACCCTGAGGACGTCACAAAAAAGAAGTAATGCGGGGCCGTGATTATTTTAGTGCTAAGTTGGTTTTTACCCCCTTTCTGGTTTGACACAAATAAATAGTAACAATCCATAAAATTGAAAAAACCTGTATGCTCCTAAATTCTAATAGGACATTGCTGTAGGCCCCTGTTGTTTAAAAGCCAGAAATCTTGACCATGCCTATGAAATGTCTTGAATAATATGATTATCCCAATTGTGTGCATTCACTAAGCCTTCATTGAAGAGGGGGCACAAATTCGGGTGCTATAAGCTTGGAGCTTTGTAAAGGTGCCAACGTACCACATAGAAATATTTTCTTCTTTCCGTCTTTCGTCTTGAATATCTTGTGCGCTCCTTCTCCCTGTAATATTGCGATGGAAGGATGAAAAGATTATTTTTAATGACAAAATCCTAGGCTAACTGTTTCCAGGTTATAAAATTCTTCGCAAACCTTTTCTGGGTATGGTTCTATATACATTCTACTCTCCTCGTCTTCAATCAAGCCACTGAAAAAGGGAAAACGTGGTTAATATTGCATCCCTTGAGGAACGTGAACAATTACAAAAGAACTAACGAACAAATCGTCAATGAAATTTTTGAAAGTTGTACTGTTATGTGCGTTTTGGAAGCATATGAAATTTTCGTGCACATAGACAAATTACGCCACATGATAAAGAGTCACCTTAATCCATGACAAGTATCAAGGATGACCGTTGACTGCGCCTCATGACCTTACAGGTGACCTTGATATTGGCAGTTAGGCGGTGCCTCCTGACATTAAAGCAAGAAACGTGGATAGTAATATCAGACTGTAGCCTGACTTGTTTAACCCAAAAGACCCACACAAGTAGTTAGATATTGCCTTTCCTCCCTTCTGATTGGCCTTCTGTAGCAAAATGCGATGAATAAGAGCTGGTAAGGGTAATTTCTGTTTGGTGTGTTACCTTTCTATGAACCAACTGGCCGTTTTCTTTAAAATAACGAAGAGTAAACTGTGGTGAAGAAACTATCCTGGTGGAGAACAAAAACATAATTTGTCATAAAAGTGGACCTATTGGAAAAACATCATTGCACAATCACTTATCATACTGATGGTGTAAACCGTTATTCTTTAACCCTAAAGAGTGATTGGCTTCTAGTCTCTCACCACAGTATCATGCACCCTTGAATCAAAAGTAAAAGTCATGGAGATAATGGAAATAATCACCAATTTAAGAAGCTCCTGATTGTCAAACAAATTCTCCTTGTTATTACCACAGGAAATGTAAAGGGATCAGAATGGAGAATATAAATACTAACGTCATGGCGTAAAGGGTTGAAAGCTGTAATAAAAGCTGTAATATTAGCAATAAGGGAGTGTAATGGTCAATCATGAAAGACCGACCACGCTCAGTTCACGTGGGGCTTACTTAGCCAACCAGCGCCATGTGAAGTTACAGTCTCCTCGGCACTTACTTGTTAAGATGAACTTCCACCACAACATCTTTACCGAAAGCTCTCAGCTTAAATGTCGCCTCCTCGTCATGGCCATTCTGTCACGAATTCAAAGTAGTATGACACATATCAATTTTTTTTATAATCATTGTTGTCAAAGAGGAACAATTGGTGTCCCAGCCAGTTAGTATCTCTTAGTATCTCTTCACTGAAATATGAAAAAATTTCAGTCATGGGAAACTGCACTCAAAAGTGCTTCGTGGCAGCGGAAGGAGTATTAGATATGGCAATTGGAGAGCACATATCTGATTGGAAAAGTCTCTTATAATGACTGAAAGAACTAAACACTGAACAGGGTAAGCAAGGCATATGACTCTAATTGGCAGATTGAACCGGCTATATTTTTGGAGTAGCATCTGGCTGGGGGCCTGTGTACAGCAGGGTTGTAAACTCTCCTTTTTGCGCACGCGCGCGCACCTAACCTCCTTTGGGAAGTCGCGCGACGCTTTTCTCATTACGTGAAATCCCAAATAACGCCATTGAAGGAGACTAACGCTTACTGTGATACGAAAAAAAAATCGGGCGTCAAAACATAACTTAAGAGGCAGAGATAACAGAGACTTGTAAAATAATACTTAATTGCAAATTGAGCACGTTTATAGTTCTCACTGATACTAAAGGATCAAATACCTTTGATCCTGTGGAAAGATCTCTCTTTGTGCGACCCTTGTTGATTCTTTCAGGAAACACAATATCGAAATTGTCATCGATATTGTCTCTCATTGACTCGCTGTGCCATGCTGAGAGGAAAAAAATCCATTATGTTGAGAATTTTGGTAATTTCTGATGGCTTCATCAGAAAATTGAAACTAAAAAAATACCTTCGTGCGCCGAGTATGAGTACCCTGTGCTTCCGGTCCAAAACAAAACCAAAATAGGGAGCCATATGTTCATTCCTAACCGATACAAAAAAAAAAAGGAATGACTATACATAGATAAATGCAATACTCAAAAGATAAAAATAGGGAAATTCATAGGTAAGGAAGTATAAATGTTCTCCGGCTGGAGATGTGAATTGTTTAATGCATCACCAAAATTCTTCGCACTCAGATAAAGAGATGTGTGATGTCAGTTATAAACCCATTTTATCAAGAAGACCACTTTGCTTAAGTTTGGAATTGATAAGGTTTCTTGCCATCGATGTAAGGTTGTACTGGGTTGTCATCTAAGGGAAAATTAAACAACGAGCTGACTTTTAGGCTTTGCGTGCAATGACCAGTCATTATACAGAGTATTTACAACAAATTGTTAATAACCTTTTCATGTCATTTCATGCATCTACTAATTGACAGAAATGGGTCTGCGTAGCACGAAAGAAAATATTAACCCTATAGGGTTTGTAAATATCTTTTCGCCACAAGGAAATGCGATCTAGAAGCGAAACACTTCGGAAAGTGCGTGCCTTAGAACTACTTGAGTCCTAGAACTTTGTAACAAACCTGACCGAGGCGAAATGAAGAAACGTACAACTATTTTTCGAAGCATGATTACAAAACAAGGCTCTGTTTCCAGACTTCAACATACCTTTTAGCTCCATAATTCAGTCATCAAAGTAAACTCGTCAAAAAATTGAAGAGACCTTAAGCAGCCAAATGTTGGCTCGAACGCCAAGCACTGATAAGGTCTTGGTTGTGTTAGGCCAAAAAAACCCTTTAATTGACAAACCGATACCCGGCAGCAGTAGGAGGTGTATACGTACCATTGCGTGGTGTATTACTCACCAGAGAAGAACTGTCAACTGGAGGATATCAGTTTCCCCTGTTCACGCCTTCTATACATATCACAAGTAACTTATAGGGATCTCATCGGTCATTCTTCAGTTGTTCGTTTTTCTTTCTCTTTCGGTAGCTTGGTGTATTTTCACGTGTCGTGCAGGCTTGTGATACGGCAATGTTAGGTTTCCTCTCTTTTTCTCGTATAGAAAGACGAGACTACATATGGGATCAACGGAAAAACCCTGGGTTCTAGTCCATTTCCCTTTAGGGTAGAACCTTGTTATTTTTCTTTTTCTTTTTTTTTTTTTGTGTGTGTGTGTCTGAACACTTTAAGAAAACGATATAAAGCTTCTGCCCGCCAAGAAAAATAAACATTGCCTTCTTGGCGCAAATTCATGCTGAGACTTGCTGTGACAGACAATTAAATATTTCTCCAGGTGCCTTGTAAAGAAATTTAATTACGATGCTTGCTCGCTCCACTAACATCTTGGCTGCTTTTAATTTGAACTTATGTTGAATCTTACTAATCAGTATGCTTAAGAATTGCCTGATCATAGCACTATGCCTCTCTCGTGATCATTATTTTGATGAGCATGATAGCGCAGTACAAAATGATTTCTCATATATCCACGACAAATTCATGCTCAGGTTTATATGTAAAATGGCTCAAGATCGTGTCACGTTACATAGCTTACACATTTGGTATTTAATAATTTTCCTTGATATGGTTTAGTTAGACTTAAAATTTATAATGAATAATCTAGATAGGTAGCTTTAGACAAATTCAGAAGAAACTTAATTTGAACCAAAGATACATCTGAATGAGTTTATTGGTACATTCTTGCATCGTGGTGGCCAGCTGTTAATTTGCGCCATCCAGGAGGTCCTTAAAGGGACAATTTGATTTAGCTTTTCAGACGATGTCATGGCTGCAACGCCTGAGGCAATTGTAGAAGTTATTGAGAGGGTTTACTTATTGATTCACTCTTTCCAAATTAGTATATTCAACTGTGATCTATTTGAAAAGGACTGGATTGTTAGACTGTTACAACACTTGTGCCATCGAGTTTTTAAAGCGACGGTAAAACAGAGAGGACCAGTATTGGCCATGGGTGGGGACGAGGGGCTGTTTGGGGTGGGGGGGGGGGGTAGGGTGTATTTTAAGAAGCATCACGACATTTGGACATTTGAACACGAGTGTTCAAACTTCTCACATGTTAGACGATCCTTGTCCATGATTTTAGTTACTTTCCCTGATCATCAAACTATTCGTACATAATACGTTTCTTTTGCTACATTTTATTATTGTCATGATTAATTTTCACAATGTCCAGATTTTCATATTTAAGCATGCTTCACCCAAGGTTAATTTAAGATTTTTGATTTGAAGGCTTATTAAAGCAACATGAAGATTCCTGACGAGGTACAGTTAGACAAATAACAGCAAACTTATTCATTAAAATAACGTTTAGCCACAATACTGATCAATGCGTCCCCCGTAGGATCAGCTAATTTGGCAGCAATTTCACCGGGGCCGTATTTTACATTGGTTTGTAGTCGTAGGCTTTTTTTCTGCCCTAATATGATTTCCTGCACAACTTGCGCAATTTCTTCACTGCTCTGCATAGTTTCACCCAGTATTTTGCCAAAATATTCATTAACCGCTTCCATCAAACTTTTCGTCTTGGCGTCCAAGGTTGTCAAGTCCACGCTCTCTTGACTCCAGTCGCTCGCTTTCGACCTTACAGGAGTTTCAACGGGGCCTGGTTGCAACAGACAGCATCTATAAACAATCGAAATGATAGGAATTTAAGATATGAAATCATGAAATCAAAACATGGGTTGGTGTTAAGATTAAACTTATAGGTTAAATTAAAGAAAATTGTAATCTAGATCTTTGCTCTCCAGATTTAAACCTGGAGATCAGCATAAATTTCATAATAAAAACTGAATATAAATATGTACTTATTGACTAGGTAGGAAAGCCAGATGGAAGATATTTTGCTCGAGGTCATGACGCACGGAACACTGCAATTTCCATGGAAGGGACACAAGGAGTGGACTTGGTAAACAGCCGCTCTTCTCAGTGAGGAGAAGCCGGCGTTGTTTCCAAAGACTGTCTTGAAAGAGAGGCGAAAGAAGCTAACCCCGCTTGTGAGGGCAGAAAGCGTCTTACCTTATGTTAAACTGACGGAGTAGTGGAGCCATACTCTCTGTCAGACCTTCTACAGCAAACTTTGACGAGCTGTAAATTTCCACGAAAGGAACTCCAACAACACCGTGATGGCTGCTGTTATTAATGATTAGCCCACTCTCCCTCGCTTTCATGCTCGGCAACACGGCCTGGATTAATCTCAGTGCCCCGAAGACGTTGACTTCAAATAGCTCCTTGGTGACTTTGATGGGGACACATTCCAGCGCTGACATAACAAGAGTACCAGCGTTGTTAACTGTAAATTTAAAAAGAAAAAAATTAGCAAATGGATTGAAGTGGGGTTCTCAATTAATTCATAGTTTCACTGGTGGCGGAACTTTGCAATTACATGCTTTTATTTCAATCGCGTCCAAAAATATCTTCCCCAAGCCCATTGGCCTCGCAAATTTGCGAGTATCGGTTAAAAAAAAGTTATTTTCATTTCTGATCTATAGTGACTGATATTCCAATTCAGGAGAGTATCTTTTTTCCAAAGACGCGCAAAAAAAATTCTCCCCTTATGATTCATATTTCAAGAAAATCAGAGCAGTAGAACTTACACAATACATCAATTCTTCCCTCTGTGTCCAACACTTCCTTCACAGCTTTCTGCACTGACTCGTCGCTGCATACATCCATCTGTTTAATGACCAGTGTGTCTCCAAGATATTCCTTTCCTTCTTCCTCCAATTGTCCTTTCTTCGCGAGATTTCTCATGGTGGCATAAACCTTGAAGCGTTTCTCGGCATCTTTGGCCAGAAACACAGCTGTAGCGAGTCCAATGCCACTAGAACAGCCAGAAATCAACACGATTTGGGGAGAAGCCATGATTTATTTTTAGCAGCACTCTGTTGTCAGTTTTGCTTTTCAACTGCAGATGATAGCTGTACTTGCAGGGCCCACCTTTAAATGAGTTTGTTAAGCTGCGTCATTATGACATATTTAGTGAGTCATTTCCGTAAAAACAATGAACAGGCACGCGATTACGTAAATCAAGTACTCATGCGACCAGTAAGCAATAAAACCACATGGCTGTAAAGTGAAATTGTTCGTTGCCTCTTTACTTCGCTTACGCAATTAAAGAACAACAATTTTGTTTATTATCGGCCCTACAATTTAACTGCAATTTGTTGGAGAATGCAAAATATATATAGTTAGATCCGTTAGGCGCACTCATTACATGAACCGTAACGGATCAGCGATTATTTTTATTCACTTTGGATCACGGAATACTTGTCACTTGCTCAAAAGGGGCCGGTAAATTACACTGTAATTTAGAGAACATCTATTGAACGTTTAAAATGGGTAATACCTAATTTGTAGTACGCAAGATACCCGCTGTCTCATGTGAATTTATTTTTACTACAGCTTTTATGTAAATTAAGGAGCTATATCATTCTCCGGGCTACACACATCAGAATGATTCTGCATATTTTGATGCTTTCTTTTTGACTGATCATGATGGCTTCGCTTTTTCAATCACTCCTTGTGATGGTTGATATCAAAAAGTGTTGTATCAGCTTAACGATGTCCATCATGACGTCAACTGTGTCTTTACCCCTTATATAATGAAAGCGGATGAAAATATATTGGAAGAATACGTCAAATCATGTTGTAGAAGCTGAGAAAGTATATTAAAAATTAGCATGACAGGTAAATATAACTGATTCTTAAAGAATCAATAAAATTATTTTTGAAAGTGAAAGGCCGACAAGTCTTATCGGCAATGAAGGATTAGGAGTAAACGATTAATGAACCCTTACACTCCTAGAAGTGATTAACATGCAACTTCTCCTTGCAATTCCAATAAGTTATCTTGTTAACAGGTTATGAGAGCAAACGCGTTTATCAGCCAGAGGGAGTTATTTAGGAATAAGACCAAAATCTCCTCTCTAATTTACAAGGAAAAATATGACACTAAGTAGGAAGAATTACTAATTAACTCTTGGGAGTTAAAAGGTCAACAGCAAATATATTTTTCTGCTGTTATCATATGGTACCCTCTGAAGTCACGTAAATGACAATAATTCATACACCAATGACTAGACATCTTCTCTTTTATTATATCTAGGGTCAAACTTTATGAAAGAGTAACATTGATTCATCTTAAGTCATACATAATATTAAAGGCTGATTTTCATACGCCAGTTACTATAAAGAGCTCTATTATTAAGAACCATTTCTGTTTAAAACAGATATTTTATTTTCCCAAATAGTGCTTTGATATAATATCAACTGATGTATTTCCTGTGCGATCAGATAATTTGGCAGGGATTTCACCAGGTCCAAATTTGTCGTTGGTTTGATGTCGCAAATTTGTCTTTTCTCCTAAGATTATTTCAAGCACAATTTGCGCAACTTCTTCACAACTCTGCATGGCGGTGTTGAAGGTACTTTGTACGTTGGAGAATACAGTTGCCATTATATCCTTTGTCTTTGGATCTAAGGTCGTCAAGTCCGCCCCAGCTTCGCACCATTCGTTTGCTTTGGGTACAATACTAGTCTGCACGGGGCCTGGCTCCAACAGGCAGCATCTAACAGAAAACAAATAAATTGAAAAAAAACTATGCTGACCTGAAAGCGACAAATGCGCAATAAAGCAACTGCAATGTATGTAGTGAGAGTTATTTTTTAAATGAGACCATGACGTTTTCCTCTTTTTATAAGACAACCTTAGCTTACCAACAACTACATGAATGGGGAAGAAACGCCCTTCAAAAACAATTTTAAGGGGACTTTTACGGCAGTCTAGATCACCGAAAAATGAAGGATGTACTTATTACACCGTACTAATTTCGGCGAACACCGTCGCACGATTGAAAAGGAAAATATGGTGAAAAAAATTTCCGTCAGCGCGCACCTCACTCCTGCAGTACTAGTGACGCTACAAGATGCGCGACGCGCCAACATTACGCTGTTTTAACTGACTATTTATAACCAGCTTGTTGTCTAAATTACACCATACCTGATGTTGAACTGTCGCAGAATGGGAGCTATGCTTTCCGTCAGACCCTCAATTGCAAACTTGGATGAGCAGTAAATTTCCACAAAAGGAACTCCTACGATGCCAAAATGACTGCTGTTGTTGATGATCAGCCCACTCTGCCTCGCTTTCATGCTTGGTAGCACGGCCTTGATTAACCTAAATGCTCCAAAGTAATTCACTTCAAACAGTTCCTTAGCCATTTGAATAGGAACACATTCAAGCGCAGTCATTAAGCCGATTCCTGCATTGTTAACTGCAAAGATAAGATAGTATAATAAATTTAG